CATGTACACTAAAGGTTGGGATACGACCAAGCTTAAAGCCATAACCATATGACTCTGTTTCAAATCAATCTTATACTTAAACTGTCAAGGAAAATAATGAAGAAAGGATCATCCATTTTTTGCAAAACCAAAAAGTCATAGGTTTCTTTTTTGGACATTTTAAAAATGATCTGCATCATGTTTATATTTCTGGGGTAACTAAAGTTTTTTGCTTTGTTTGTAGTTTCTTAATATTTTCTTGTTTTTTTGTCTTCTTCACAGTGTACATTTTTGATTTTTGATTTTGTGTTTATTATCCCTATCCCTTTTCGGTTTCTGGTTTTTTATAACTTTGTAGAAAAGTCAGTTTTTAAAAGCCTTCAAATTAGGAGAAGCAGTGGAGTTGAGCTTAGATCCAATTGCTTACCCTAAATGTTTAGAAATATCCTGCATCTGCACCATCTGTAGGAATACTTTAAGAATAAAGGCTGTGATATATAATTCATACCAGCAGATGGAAGTAGTATGGTAGCAGTAACCATGTTATAAATACAAATACGTTCCTGAACATGGCTAAATCAGGATGCTAAGTTTTGACGGTTTTCCTCTTAGTTTATACATTTACCAACTCAGATACAATGTTTAATGAGAAGGAATAACACAGAAATGGGACCAATTAAGCTAAAAAAGGGGAAAAGTTTTAAAATGCGTAGACATGCTTAGCGTTGCATCCTTCTGTTCTTGTTTTTTGGTATTATCTTTAAAAACCCAGCATGTTGGTCTAAACACCACAAATTGAGTTGAAAAATCCCCTTTTTAGTAATCTTTCACAGCAATATTCATTATGTAACCTCAACGTGCTCTATGTAGACAAAAAAAAAAAACTGGAGAAAACACCACTGAGGATCATCTAACATCAGATGGACAGCTGTGTACAAATATTCAAAGAGACTTGGTTGGATAACAACATTGTCAATGCTCTTATGGATTATCAGTATTATCAGTGCTCTTCTATATTCACTTTTGCACTGATGTTGTGTTACCAAAAAACACAATCAGGGTTGTGTTTTTTTGGTTTCACAAACCATGAGGAGTACGTCTACAACAAAAACCAAAGCAGTATGTGGATAGGCATCAGGAGCATCACAGATTATAACCACAATGACCAGCAGATCAGCCAAAAAAAAAAAAACCTCTTTGCACAATTTGACTTTAGAAGCAGCAGAAGAACCAGCTTCAGCATCAGCCTTTTGTCCTCCATCTGCACTATGAAAAAGATGGTAGCAGGTCCAGACATGGTATCAGGTTGGGCACTAAAATCATAAGCTGACCAACTTCCCACTATTTTCCTTGACATCTTTAACCTCTCCCTTCAGCTTCCAGAGTCCCTACCTGTCTGACGTCCACGGTCATGGTGCATGTGCCCCCCAAAAAATGCAACCATTACCTCCCTTAATGATTACTGTCCTGTTGCACTGACACCAGTCATCATTAAGTGCTTTGACGGGATTGCTACAGATCCTACCCAACCAAGATGAACTGTCACACTTTCTTCAGAAAAACGATTCTAGATCAGCACGTTAAAAACAAACTCAGAAATACTTTCCCCACAAAATCTGCAAAGGCAACCCTCCCCTGTAGGCAAACACTAAACTCTCCTGCTGAAGATCAATTAAACCTACAGCCTGTTTTAATAGACTGTTTTAGAACAAGGAGCACGTTATGTATATATTAAATTCTTCATGCCACATTCCAATAAGTTTTTATGCTTCAAAATTTTTTTGTCTCATTTTAGAATGCTCGTTGTTTGATTTTCTATAAGCATTTTTTATTCATGTTATCACATGTGCATCTTGAGTGAAATTTTATGACGTTGACCTAATGACTCTTGACTGTTAACGGTCAAAAAATTTTTTGTTTTCTTTAAAAAGTAACAAATAATTTTCAAATTCCTTCAGAGGCAACACATCCTATATCTTTGCCCTTCTTATAGTGTTGGAATTGGTGCTCCTCAGTGGTGTCGTTGTTTGCAATGTCGCCCTGCAGCAAGACAGTCCTTTGGTTTAAACTTCGGGCTTAAGCCAATGCATGCTAGTTTATTGGTCTCTCTAAATTCCCCTTAAGAGTATTGTGTTGTTCTGTGTGTCTCTCTGTGTTCCAACCTGTCCAGGAAGTACTCATCGAGTGACTGCTGGATCAACCTTCATTGATAAGCAGCCATAGACGATACTCATCTATTTCAGCTAATACTTTTCCACCCCATTTATTTATCCTCTGTCCCTTGTGATCAACTCCCACACATCAGTTTTTTTTTTTTTTTGACTACTAGTACTTTCTCAGTCTTTTTTTATTTCTATTAATATCAGCTGTTTTCTGTTTACATGGAAATCAGCCTTTTTCGGACTGGTTGTGTGGGTGCTTTTCCAAATACAACTTGGAATTGTTTCCCTTAAATAAAATGTTATCTTTTAAAGGGTATTTAAATTCATGTGACATATGCAACGGGAATGCAATAATGCTATATTTTATCTGCTATGTTCTGTCCTTGCAGTTGATTTCAGCTGGCCTTTTGGGTGACTACACCCAAGTCTATTTGTAAAGAATCGATATCTAGGGAAAAAAGAGGAAATATGACATTCATTACTTGCAAAGACACAGATTGGATGAAAAATGTTTTTCACTCAGTGTGTGAGTGTGTGTGTGAATGGGTGAATGAATGTAGTGTAAAGCGCTTTGGTCAAGTCTCCTAACTTGAATAAAGGCGCTATATAAGTACATGCCATTTACCATTTATTATTTAGTTTTTGTCAAAACAAAACTATCGGTGCAACTAGAAGATAGAGCCTAGATCCTTGGCAGTGATAACAGAAGAGTGAACTGTTGAAATATCTGAGACAGAAATAGGAAAACTGCGTAGCAATCCCTGCAGATTAATGCCCCTGCCAAAAACAGAAGAAATTGTGGATTTAGGCCAATAAAAAGGCCAACTGGGCTCAAGTAAATCCTGAACGCAGTAAAGTTTTTGTAGTTCCCAGTTCATGCCTCAAAATACAGATGTCTGGGCAAACGTATTAAAAGGTTTCCCCTTGTAACAACACAGAACACCATTCTAGTTATTAACGGACTCATGTGATTTGAGATTTTTACCACCAGATGCCAAATGACAAATAACACAGTAAAAGGCTAACCAATCATTATCAAAAACAGTAATTTATCAAATGTTCAATAAATTCTTCTTTTTTTCTATGAGAGTATTTGTAAACAGAAAGCTGGATTGATGGAAAACAAAACATGGATAATGGATGAATATTGAATAGGAATCCTTGTAATATTTAGATCATTTAAATAAAAATAAAAGGAAGCAATGATAAAGCAAACGTTTTTGGCATTATTTCTCTTTTTACTCATTAATAGGCTTTTAACTTGTTAACACTGAGATAGGTGACATGCCAGCTGCTAGCTTTAAAGGCTTCCAGTGCTAAAATGCAATTCTTGCTCCCTGTTTATACAAAATAGTTTGTAAATAATTAGAGCACAACCCTTGTGAGACAAAATTAATTTTATTAAAAAAAGAGAGAAAACTAAGAGCTGACAAGACTAGAATTGACTTTATCTGAAAGGTTTCCTCGACACATTAGACTGGAAAACAATTTTACCACTACACGGTGTTGCTTTTAACGTATAATGCTACACTAATGACATATAACAGGGTGACAACAAATATGGTCATCATAAAGAGTCTGATCGCTTTGAATTTATCTGGTAAACCAAGCCAAAAAAAGACAAAAGAATTATATTTATTCATTTGGTAAAAAAGTTGAACTCCTTTATCGAATTACACCCAAAGTAAATCTCTGGTTGGGGAGTAGTTTAACATGAGGAACATGTGAGCTGAATCAATTTTATGAAATATCCCTCTTCCTTATGAATTCTTTTCTGAAACACTTTTTCCTTTCACTCAATTTTCCATCTACCTACTTGGAAACAGATCCTTAGCAGTGATCTTCGGCGCCCTATTAAAGGTGTCTCCTCGACAACGTCTCGTTGATGATAGTGAAGTCCATAACATGGTCATAACATGGCATCTTAATAATTTATTTTAATGTCTGTACTTGATATAGATCACTACTTTTTGATCAATTAGTAAATCAAACGCTTTTCACTTTTAGCTCTGAATTAATAAAACAAAAAACAAGGATATTCTTTATTCAGATGATTGTACACACTTGTATTACCATCTAACTTAACTTCCCAATAATTGTTTTTCAGCTCCTTTGTGAATTTTGAAGTTAAACCTGTTTGCTGTTTATTACAAGAAAATATGAGACACCAGCCTGCAATAGGACAAAACATTTTCCAGTGTTTGGAATTAATGTGTAGACAAATAGCTGAAATGATGATTTAAAAATATATATATATATTATGACCAGCAGAAAACTACAAAGGACAGAAACACTGAAGAGCCTTCAGTCCGGTAGCCTTTATTTTAATCATATTATATTATAATGGATGCAAATACAGCAATAGCCTTTTGCAATAAAACTCTGCTTTTTAAGTGATTTTTTTGATAGGTGAGATGGTTTCAGCTAAGCTTTTCCTCTAGCTGGGATAGTTTTACAAATGTGTATATTAGGCTGTAAGATCAGGTTTGACCAATGACTTTTATACTTTTCAGGAATTGTAGGAGATTCTCCAGAAAATACTCCTAGATAAATAATATAATTTCTAATAAAAATGTGATAATCTTCTCTTAAAGTGGGATTTTGGCCTTATGTAGAGATGAACAATCCTGAGTAAAATCTAACCTAAAGGTTGAAATGCTGGCAGCACAGCCACAGATACCAAAATGCTGGTGTTTGCAGTGATCTTTGTACTCAAATTCCTGGGAAAGGTCAGTATTACATGGCTGCAGGGCAGTGAGGGTGTCTTTGTTGTATTTATTTGCAGGCCACCATCTTTGTTTAACGCTAATGTGTAGTCCGGCCCAGTTTAGGAAAGACTAGAGCAGACTCATGTCAGCAGGAAGCGTCTTTTTTCACATGTACAGGTCAGCTGTAAAGAAGCACCTCTAATGTAGTACAGTAGGCCTGTAGAGTCAGTAAGAGCCAACCTTTTGCTGTGCAGGTTCCCACATTTGCTCTGCATTCAAAAACTGGTCTTAAAAGCCAAAATCATCTGATGCACACTTAGAGAGCTTATGAACAATTTAAAGAACAGGACAGACTTGGAGCTGACAGTTTTAGAATCGAGTTTCAGAGCTTCCTTTCTTCATCGTACTACTGTGAAACTCATCATGTTCGAAGCTGAGAGTATTATGTGACCTGGATATCATTAGCAGCTTCTCTCGCTTGCTGTAGTCGCGCCTGTCTGTCGGTGACACAAAAGTGTCCGAGCGTCGCTCCCCCAGCTGCTCGCTGTCCTCCAGGCGGGTGTATCCCTTGCTGCTGCCTCTGTTCCCGCAGTGACTGCGGGTGCTGTTGCTGCGGTCGAGCCGCGGCCAGCTGGGATGCTTCCTCTGCTCCGGTCGCACGCTGAGCACGCTCGGCCTGCGCTCTAGGTCCAGGGATTTGGAGTGGCTGTTAAGCATTTGAAGAGAAGAGTTGGAGCCAAAGTCACTCTTTGCTGCTCCTGGTGAGAGCCAGCAGCCTGAGGTAGATGAGGGAGCAGGGGAGAGGGTGCCGGAGGAGAAGGAGGAGGACGAGGATGCAGAGTTACTACGCTGTAAGCCTGGTGGCTTGGAGGCCTTGGCAACAGATGCTACTGGCACTACTAGAGACTCCATGGAGCTCAGCGGCACCGGCCTCTCTGCTCGTCTCTGCTCACCTCCTCTGTCCTCTTCGGTAATTGCCTCCATTTCTGGTTCATCAATTACACAGTTGTTAAGTTTGATAACAGGCAGAGTAAAGGCGGAGATGGAGGAGGAGACAATAGATCCCGTGTGGTGTCCTCCCTTCTCCCCATCTCCATCAACTGACCATTGATGTCGCATGGAATCTGAACGCTCCAACCCAAGCCCGGCGCCGTAAAAAGGCCGATCCTTATACAACGGAGCTAAAAGTCCCGCAAAGCTACAATCCAGCCTGGCCTGCTCTTTGTGCTGGTGGAACTCCTCACCCCCAAGAAGCCCCTCCTCTTCCTCTGTAGACCCAATTCTGCTTCCAGCCCGAGACGAGAAACCGAGGAGGGAGTTGCTGGCCAGGTGCGGTGCTGTGTCCCCCCCGAAGCCTCGAAGATCAGCCACTTCTCGTGCACAGAAGCTGCTGCTGTGTTTCTGCTCCCTCTGCCTGAGGCGATGGATGTCGATGACTGTTGAGTACATGTCTCTCATATGGATTATCTAGTGTGGAGGAGAGTTTGGTTAGTTGGTATTTCCTGCAAGGAAATTTCAAGATTTGATATGGGTCTAAAGAAGTCAGATCTGGGTGTCAGTGGGTTATGAATATAAAATACTTCATAGAGAGAAAAAAAGTATGAAAAAATGAAAATGGGAATAGTTTAAATTATTACTTCACAACAAACAATACAAACAAAAATCCAGGTGCAAGAATTCATGAAATGATTTGATTTAAATATGCATTTGATGCAAAATTCAACTGGATTAAAGCTCTACCTTGGTCTCCCTGTCTCTGTTTTCATGAAGTATTGCATTAGCACAGATGAAGATAAAGATTCCTATTCCCATAGTGAAGGGTCCAAGCATCTTCATCCTCTCAGAGTGAAGGTGCTGTTCCAGAAACCGTGTCAGAGCACCGCCCATCTGCTTTGAAGAGTCTAAAACCAGAGCAAAGAGAAGAATAACAAGAGAGCAGGACGACTTTGAACAGCTTTATAAACTAAACCAGAACTATTATTACCTTGAACCACTTGGCTTGCATTAGTTACATCTTTCTCCACCTTTAATTCATTTCCTCCACCTGTTGGTATGGCTTTATTGTGTGGCCAGTAACCTAGAGTCGCCATGCCAATGCCTATTGCCAAGATGATTAGTCCCAGGAAGAGAAAAAAGCCTGAAGCCGAGTAGAGCCGAAGCCTTCCTCGAACCACCACCACATCTGTGCGTCTCTTTCTCTTCCTAAGAAAAACAGTTGTTGGAAGAGGAAAAAAAAATAATATCATTTCAGTTCCATGCAGCCATCCTGTCTTATAGTCTTTTATTGGTTGTAGAAAGCAGTTATTTATAGACTGCAAGTACTTTGAAGACTCTTCTAGGACTGTGTGCTTTTAAAATCAATCCAGTAGTTTGTCATTTCTACTCTGGTGCCAGAATAACTTTAAGCTAATTTCTTTAAGCTTATGCATTATGATGTCAAATAGTGTTGCACCAATAGCAATACCAGTATCAGGAGGGGCCCCGATCCAGCACTAAAATGGTGGTATTGGTGAGTACCAACAAATAGGGCACCGATACCATTTTGAGAGCCAAAAGTTTATACTGGATTCACGTTGTATTACTCTTTTTCCTGTTTCACAAAGGTAGGCAGCAGCTTCACAAAGCCATTTTGGCAATTATTTTACATCCTAGTAGTATGCAGTTCTATATATATATATATATATATATACACTATATTGCCAAAAGTATTTGCTCACCTGCCTTGACTCACATATGAGCTTAAGTGACATCCCGTTCCTAATCCATAGGGTTCAATATGACGTCGGTCCACCCTTTGCAGCTAGAACAGCTTCAACTCTTCTGGGAAGGCTGTCCACAAGGTTTAGGAGTGTGTTTATGGGAATTTTTTGACCATTCTTCCAGAAGCGCATTTGTGAGGTCGCACACTGATGTTGGACGAGAAGGCCTGGCTCTCAGTCTCCGCTCTAATTCATCCCAAAGGTGTTCTATCGGGTTGAGGTCAGGACTCTGTGCAGGCCAGTCAAGTTCATCCACACCAGACTCTGTCATCCATGTCTTTATGGACCTTGCTTTGTGCACTGGTGCACAGTCATGTTGGAAGAGGAAGGGGCCAGCTCCAAACTGTTCCCACAAAGTTGGGAGCATGGAATTGTCCAAAATGTCTTGGTATGCTGAAGCATTCAGAGTTCCTTTCACTGGAACTAAGGGGCCAAGCCCAGCTCCTGAAAAACAACCCCACACCATAATCCCCCCTCCACCAAACTTTACACTTGGCACAATGCAGTCAGACAAGTACCGTTCTCCTGGCAACCGCCAAACCCAGACCCGTCCATCAGATTGCCAGATGGAGAAGCGCGATTCGTCACTCCAGAGAACGCGTCTCCACTGCTCTAGAGTCCAGTGGCGGCGTGCTTTACACCACCGCATCCGACGCTTTGCATTGCACTTGGTGATGTATGGCTTGGATGCAGCTGCTCGACCATGGAAACCCATTCCATGAAGCTCTCTGCGCACTGTTCTTGAGCTAATCTGAAGGCCACATGAAGTTTGGAGGTCTGTAGTGATTGACTCTGCAGAAAGTTGGCGACCTCTTCGCACTATGCGCGTCAGCATCCGCTGACCCCCGCTCCGTCAGTTTACGTGGCCTACCACTTCGTGGCTGAGTTGCTGTCGTTCCCAAACACTTCCATTTTCTTATAATACAGCTGACAGTTGACTGTGGAATATTTAGGAGCGAGGAAATTTCACGACTGGATTTGTTGCACAGGTGGCATCCTATCACAGTTCCACGCTGGAATTCACTGAGCTCCTGAGAGCGACCCATTCTTTCACAAATGTTTGTAAAAACAGTCTGCATGCCTAGGTGCTTGAATTTATACACCTGTGGCCATGGAAGTGATTGGAACACCTGATTCCAATAATTTGGATGGGTGAGCAAATACTTTTGGCAATATAGTGTATATATATATATATATATATATATATATATATATATATATATATATATATATATATATATATATATATACATCTATTTCAAACAGATGGTGTCTGTATGGGCCGATACTGCACATAATTATTTAAAATACATAAAAGTTTATTGTTTGACTGAAATTATAATCAGGTTACCTTTATGCCATTCAAACAATAGCCTTTATTTATTTGAAATAAATATACTGATTGGTATCAATGTTGAGCAAGTATAATGTATTAATACTAAACAAATAAATAAGCTCTATTAAAAGGATGTTTATCATTTAGTAAGTTTATGTCTATCACATTTTAAAAACAGTAAATAGAAGTTTGTTAAATAATAAAATTACATGAGTAATAGAATTTGGGCGTAGCATTTTTGTGAGTGCATAGTCGCTAACAAAGGAAAATAAAATATTGATCGAGATGACTATTTTAAGGTAATCTTTCTCATTTGATGATAAAGCTGATAAACTGAAAATGTAGTTATAAAATTTTCCCCCTGAAAATAACTGAAAATAAAGATGTCAAGAAAACAGTCACTAAATGTATTCCTTTTATTGAACAAAAACCGTGTTGCTATAAGTTTATATTGTGTTTTCCAATTGTGAAGAACCTTCACCTGGGGGCGCTCTCAGGGGTGGGGTTTGCCAAGCCTTGGAAAGCAGGTGGTATGGGGCGATGCTGAGAGCGGGCGGAGTCCTGGCGCTTCAGCTTGGCCAAGCCTGTCAGAACACCTGCAGCTGCAGTCATCCTTTTACCTGCAGACACACATCAGGAGGTTGTTATTTCCTTCAATTTACCTGACATATTGCAGTCATCCAACATGACAGATAATAAATATAGTGGAAAAGTCCTTTTCTGTTCAAATGACAGTTATAAAATCGTGTAATCCTAATAGTTGAAGCTATCTAATACCATGGCTTAAAAATCAACACACCAGGAAAAGCAAAGAAACAAGTGAACTCATTAATCTTGAAATGTGATACCAATGTTATTTAATGCTTAGTGTAAATTCAGCTAAAATCTGTCACATTGTAAAGCAAGATAAGAGGATATTTAAAATATCTACAAACCAATGAGTTCATTCAGCAAAACACAGCCTGGTGGATTCATGCTCCTTTAATCTGTTCCAGATTATCAGCAGAATAAGACAGTTTGCTTCAAATTATCTGCTCAATCAAAAGCTATAAATCAACCAACTAAAAACTATTAGAGGAGAGAGACATTTCTGCAGAACAATGATAACAGCAAATTATTCCAGAGATAACAGCTGAGTTCATACCTTTAGATGACCGGCATGGTGCATTTATTTACTATCCACACCTCTTTAAGCAGTAAGGTAAGATTGCTTCTTTATCTACAGGTGCTGGTCATAAAATTAGAATATCATGAAAAAGTAGATTGATTTCAGTAATTCCATTTAAAAAGTGAAACTTGTATATTATATTCATACATTACATACAAACTCATATATTTCAGATGTTTATTTTGTTTAATTTTGATGATTACAAATGACAACAAATGAAAATCTCAAATTCATCATATCAGAAAATTAGAATATTGTGAAAAGGTTCAAAATTGATGGCCCCTGGTGCCACACTCTAATCAGATAATTAACTCAAACCACCTGCAAAAGCCTTTAAATGGTCTTTCAGTCTAGTTCTATAGGCTACACAATCATAGGGAAGACTGCTGACTTGACAGTTGTCCAAAAGACGACCATCGACACCTTGCACAAGGAGGGCAAGACAGAAAAGGTCATCGCTAAAGAGGCTGGCTGTTCACAGAGCTCAGTGTCCAAGCACATTAATAGAGAGGCGAAGGGAAGGAAAAGATGTGGTCGAAAAAAGTGTACAAGCAAGAGAGATAACCGCACCCTGGAGAGGATTGTGAAACAAAACCCATTCAAAAATGTGGGGGAGATTCACAAAGAGTGGACTGCAGCTGGAGTGAGTGCTTCAAGAACCACCACACACAGACGTATGAAAGACATGGGTTTCTGCTGTCGCATTCCTTGTGTCAAGCCACTCTTGAACCACAGACAGCGTCAGAAGCGTCTTGCCTGGGCTAAAGAGAAACAGGACTGGACTGCTGGTGAGTGGTCCAAAGTCATGTTCTCTGATGAAAGTAAATTTTGCATTTCCTTTGGAAATCAAGGTCCCAGAGTCTGGAGGAAAAGAAGAGAGGCACTTCATCCACGTTGCTTGAAGTCCAGTGTAAAGTTTCCACAGTCAGTGATGGTTTGGGGTGCCATGTCATCTGCTGGTGTTGGTCCATTGCGTTTTCTGAGGTCCAGGGTCAACGCAGCCACATACCAGGAAGTTTTAGAGCACTTCATGCTTCCTGCAGCTGACCAACTTTTTGGAGATGCAGATTTCATTTTCCAACAGGACTTGGCACCTGCACACAGTGCCAAAGCTACCAGTACCTGGTTGAAGGACCATGGTATCCCTGTTCTTAATTGGCCAGCAAACTCTCCTGACCTTAACCCCATAGAAAATCTATGGGGTATTGTGAAGAAGAAGATGCAATACACCAGACCCAACAATTCAGAAGAGCTAAAAGCCACTATTAGAGCAACCTGGGCTATCATAACACCTGAGCAGTGCCACAGACTGATCGACTCCATGCCACGCCGCATTGCTGCAGTAATACAGGCCAAAGGAGGCCCAACTAAATACTGAGTGCTGTACATGCTCATACTTTTCATGTTCATACTTTTCAGTTGGCCAACATTTCTATAAATCCTTTGTTTTTATTGGTCTTCAGTAATATTCTAATTTTCTGATATGATGAATTTGAGATTTTCATTTGTTGTCATTTGTAATCATCAAAATTAAACAAAATAAACATCTGAAATATATGAGTTTGTATGTAATGTATGAATATAATATACAAGTTTCACTTTTTAAATGGAATTACTGAAATCAATCTACTTTTTCATGATATTCTAATTTTATGACCAGCACCTGTACATTTAGAATTCATTCAAGCTGCAAAAGTTATTTGAGCAAAACTGCTTTTGTGTGCTGAATATAAAGTCCCCTATATCTGAATATTTTGCTGCAGGGCAACATGAGAACGTCAGACTGCATTTCATTCATCACAAAAAGCTCGGGAAGGTTTTAATTTGTTTAAAAATGCACAGAGAACAAAGAGATTTTATCAAGAGAACCTCACTGCAAAAACAATCTAGTATTAGTATTTTTTTTTTATTAGTATTTTCTTAAGATAAGTGTATTTCCCTTCATTTCAGTAGTTAAATTAGATTATCTGCCAATAGAATTAGTATTTTTACCATTAAGATGTGATAATTAGATGTTATTCACTTGAAATAAGAAACTGCAGGGGTTTTTTTTTATTTTAAAATTAGATGGTCTTATTCCGCTGGCACTCTGTCTCCCTTATTCATTTGATTAAAAAAGAATACGCTTATTTTAAGAACAGACTTACTAAGGTTGTTTTTTTTTAACAAAGCAGAAATGTTTACATATGATGATGCTGCAAATTCAAAATATTTCATCCAATAAGCAACTAGGAAAATTTATTGATGAAAAAAAAACAATTTAATGTACATTTATAGGTTTTATAACATCTTTAGCAACCCTTTTGTCTATCATTAATTATGACGACATAGTGCTCACGCATGCAGCTACCTCTGCTTTAAAGAGCCTTTCAAAGAGTTAAAACAATTATGGACAACATTATTGCTATGATTTTATTTATAAAGTTCTGCCTGGCCACTGCAAAATTTATTCTGTCAGCTTGAAAAGCCATTATGTAGTTATTAAACTCTTTCTAGACAAATTAAGTTAGGAAAAAAGAACCATCTTTATTTTTGTGGTTGTAAATGCCTTTGCAGAACACTAGCAATACTGCAGAGTGAACTAAAGCCTGCCTTCATTACATCCATAAAATATGTTATTCTTTGCAGGCATGAGTCTCTTGAAAGATAGAAAGTTAAATACAGCACACTCACATCATTCTCTGTGGTGATACTATGAATATTAACAGAAACGTAGTTGCAACTGGAGGCTCCCAGTGTGTTTCACCGTGAACAAATGTCAGCTGACTGTGCAGAGGGACTGATCATCCAGCTAAGCCTCACACTGACTAAATGCAGCACTGATCTGAAAAATGTCAGTGTACCATCAAACACCACTTTGAGAGCCAGCGGGGACACAAAAACTTAAAGAATTAAGCAGAGAGATTCCATTTGACATAGCCTTGGAAACACAAGACAGTAAATAATTCTGTAATTTGGTCACTGTAGAAACCAAAAATAAATATCTATAAATAAATTTCTAAATTTGCAAAAATAAAACAGGTTACCAGCTGATTTAATGAGCGCATATCCAGGGATGCGAATCTGCATTTCAAGAAAGTGTGGAGGATGTTCTACAGACATAAGGACATTTGAGATTCAGAGTATAGCCTTTCACACAATCATGCACACATCCAAGGATCATAGTTGTGCTAGTCTAATTGAAACCCTAAGTATAGCAAAGCCCATTTAGACCCTCAGAATACATTTTAAAGGGAAAATACATTGTGTTAAAATCTACAGAATACAGAACACTATTATAAAAATGCAACGTTGTTGACATGCATTACTACTTTGGAGGAGTTTACATTCCTGAGTATAAATCGAATTAAACATCATCGTAATTTTTTTCTGTTTTTTGTTTTACCAGTCACCCTGTTGTCTTTATTACATCTGAGCTGTAGTTGTTTTTCCACCTATTTAATGAAGTTATGTAAATGTTATAACACTCAAACGAATCCTCAGCTCTGCTCTCCAGCTGCTCTGATGTCTATTAATAAGTATCAAAGGAAAGAGGCCTGAGAACAAACAGCAGCTTATTTTAAGAGCCTTCATTTCAGCTTAAATGTTTTATAATCTGGTTTTACGTGGCCATTATCATTGTCCTGATGAGGACTAGGAGGATTAAATTGAGGTAATTCTTTTAAACCTGGCTATGTCAGGGTTCTGCCCTCTGTTTAAGTTTATTTGTATTTTCTTTTGCAGTCTTTATATGTGCAGTCGTTTTCTGTCTGTGTTTAGTTCTTGAGTTACTCTTTATTGCCCCCTTCTGCTTGTTTCCTTTCCCTTAGGCCTCCTTCTAGTTAGTTCCACTCACACCTGCTCCATATTCCTCTTATTAGCCCATCCTCTGTTCAGTTCCCCTTATATACACCACCTCTGCAGTCCCTCAGTGCTGGTTTGTTGTGCTGTTGCTTCCTCATCTCATGCTTCCCACGTGAGTTTTTCCTGACATTTTCTGTTTTTTTGATTATTTGTATTTTGGAAATTTTACTCAGTTGCCTTATTAAATCTACAAGACTCACCCCTGCCTCCTGATCTCTGCATTTGCATGCTTGAAAACCTCCACTCAATCATGATAGGCTACTGCATTTCACCAGAAACACAAAGAATTTATCTTACATATCTAATATAACTTTTAGATCAAGTCGCTGTTTTTTTCCAACAGCCAATCCTGAACAGAAGCTGCCAAATGCTATCATGGCAACCCTAAGCGTCCTCTGTTGAACAACAAGTGTCTTCATTAAAAGGCTTTTCCTGATCCACTGCAAGACAAACTGCTACAAGAGATCCTTCTCCTTTGGGATCCATAAAGTATTTTTAGAGTTACCAAGACCAGTTAACTTAATGTGGATTTCTTGGCTTGGTAGGAAGAGCAGGTGTCATGCAGTTGGGAAACTGTTGGAACATAAACTCCTGGATAAGGCACTGAAC